CCAAACTATATAAATAAAAGGACTAGACAATTTTCCCCTCCTAATTTTCCCAAATTCATGACTTGCAAAGGATACAATAGTAAGGGATCATGCAATTAATAAGAAATGGAGAAATCAGTTGGCACAGTAAATATAAAATTTAGAAATTCAAAAACACTTTTTAGTAAAAGAATAATTTTTTTGGTCTTTGAAGACATCTCAAATGAGCTTATAAACATAATTTTAAACACAATTTTTTCTAATTTTTAGAAATTCTAACAATTTGAAAAACTCCTCGAGTTGATTGTAAACACATTGTAATAATTAATAATATTTTTTAGTTTGGAAACACCTTAAATATACTCCTAAAAATAAATTATTTATACCTTAAAGTGCTTATTGTTATATTTGTATCCCACTAAAATTGCACATTTACACAATTTGTCTACTAACTTCATGCTTTTCTTGATATACTTTAAATTTTGAAGAAAAAGGACAACATAGGGCACTTTTAGAATGAAAACATCTTCTCAATTCCAAAATGAGTTTTAAATTATTTATACCTTAAAGTGCCTATTGTTATATTACATCCCACTAAATTTGCACATGCACATAATTTGTCTATTAACTTCAAGCCTTTTTTAATGTACTTTTAAATTTTTTTTTTTAAAAAAAGGACAACAAAGGGCACTTTTAGAATGAAAATATTTCTCAATTCAGAATTGAGTTTTGTAATAATAAATTTTGAAATGGATTGTCATTGTTACAAAAAGTCAAAAGTAGAGAAGTGATGTTTTTCAAAGTTCAAGGTGCTAAGTGAAATTATTAAAAGCTTCAATGGAGGTTTTTGAAATTGTCCCTTCTTTTTTTACAAAAATCTTTTTTTTCCTGCCTAGAAAATGATGTCTTATTAAAGACATTAGTATGCTTTTTTTTTTTTTTTGATAATTAAGACATCAGTATGTTAAGTTACAGATAAAAGATTTATCCCTAGCACTACTAACTCTTAAGTTTTCTTGAGGATGAAAAATTTTCGTACTTGTTTTATTACAAAAATCTTTTTATTTCATACTGGTTTTAGTTTTCTCGAGAAGTAGTGAGGTCATCAGTATCTGACTTACATATGAAAGATTGGGTTAAAAGCACTAACCCCTTCCTTCTCCTCCGCTAATGGTTTGGTTCCATTTGCATCTTTCCCCCTAACATTACTTTTATTGCACTTTCTTCCCTCAACTAACAATCAATATTAATAGTTTGGCAAAAAAAAATTAATGATCTCAAAACAATAATTAGTAGAAATAATACTCGGAAAGAAGATTTGGCTTTTTGTTTCAAGCGAATGTTCTTAAAAATGGAATCCAACCACGTAAAAAAATCACGTGCCCTTGAAATCTATTTTAGAATTTAAAATAAAATCACTTCAAGTGCCAAAAAAAATCGTAAAATGATTGCAAAAGAAAGAATACGATATAACTTTAAAAACAAAATTTTCTGTTTAAATATTTAAATTTACACGATATGTGTATAAGAGACATCTTACCATATTTGTAACTTACCTCCATCTATTGATATCCATAATCTGAGAATGAATAAGGTTAACTATAGCAAAGTTTTCGAATTTACTTAATATGGTATAATTTTTTGTTAATAGAAGTGGAATGTTTTGGAAACTTACTTTTTGATTTGCCAAAAAAATAAAAAATTGCATTGTTAAAAATGGATGACATGAGAAGCTTGGGCAGGGGAAAAAAGAATAAAAGAAAATGGAGATAAGGACGAAATTGAAACATTAGACATTTTAGGTTCCGTTTGGATTGCATTTTCCGTCATTTTTCATGGAAAAATTACTGTAGCGATTTGATGTATGTGAGGAAAAAAGGTAATAGGGAAATGTGTTCACAGAAAATGACGAAATTTTTCTACGGAAAACAGCAATCCAAGCAAGGCCACGGCTTAACAGAGGAAGGCCACAGCAATCCAAACAGTATTTAACAGAGGAAGCAATTTGCCAATTCCGCCTGTCAAAGTTCTGTTCATTTGCAGAAGAGAACCACGGCTTAGTACCTTTAGCCCTAAAAGATTTGTCCATGCGACTAATACTAACTTTTCAGTTTTAGGTACAGGAATTGCCCCAAAATAATCAAGGCATAGAAATTGCCCCAAAGCAATTGGGAGCATAACCCAGAAATATTCGTTTAACTAGTTCCTAACCTATTACTTAAGAGTAACTGCCCATAATTTGTTGAAAGATTTTAAAAAAGAAAAACTATAAGTTGATTGATAAAAAGATTTAGGGTGCGATTTGATATTAAGTCATTGAATTGTTAAGTATTAAATCTAATACATTTGAGTGTATGTCATATTCAGTGACAAGTGAATAACTTATCACTTAATTTTGGGAGCAAGTTTTGCCCAGAAAATTCAGTGTTACTAAATTAATTCAGATATTCAATTTTTGGTTATCATACAATCTGAATATGTTAAGATTTGAATCCATTAAGTTTAAGTACTGAATTGAATTATCAAATAGGGCCTTAGTAAGACATAAGTGATACGAATATATATATAAAGTGGAAATTAATAAATTAATTAAAATTACTATAAATAAGGAAGTAAAAAAGGAAGAGAATTAATTATTACAAAAAAAAGCAGAAAAGAATTTAAAAAAAAAACACAAATTCTTAAGAAGTGGCGAAAAGATGGATAGTCCATTTGACAGAACATGAATATGTTCAACTTGACAAAATGCGGATACGTTCAACTCAGCAATCTACCATTTGGATAGAGTATTATTTGAAATATTATTTGGAATAATTACTGTAGTACTTTTTGTGATGTGATGTATGTGAGATAAAAAAGTAATTGGGAATATAAAAAGGTGGGTTGGAAAATGTGTTTATGATGCAAGCGAAATATTATTTGAGATATTTGTGCTATCCAAACACTTTTATTTTATGTGTGCGTGTGTATGAGATTTGTAAAACGGTAATTGCTTTTCCAAGGGGTTCATTAAACTAGCATATAGTCGGAAGCAATATAATAGCTGAAATGAAAATTATGAAACAATAGACCCCAAACAACTTCATAAATATTATCATTTCGAGCACCATTGAAACAAAGCCTCGTAACCAGAACGACAAAACCCATTGCAAGCAAATTAACCACCAATCAAGAAATACTAGATTTGTTTATTCCTTGGTCACAAACTCTGGTAACACTTGCAATTATATTTGCAATATCGAGGTTGGTTGTTGCCTCTACTTTTATGATGCTTTGAGGACAAAATGACATTAGTGTTTGAGCCCGAAATACCAATGTGAAAACCAAACAGACTATGTAAATTGTTTTACATCTTAATAACCTTTGAAGCAAATGGCAAAACTAGTAACTAAACTAGTAGGCATTCTTTGTTTTAGTAATTCAACATTTTATTTAGCCGAAATAATCATTGAACTAATAAAAAAAGTATAATTTTTTGTCAGCCACGTAGTAAATATTTACATTTCTAAGTCACTAATCTAATGAGAGTGTACACTTTGTAGTCACAAAACGCATCATTTTAGTTAAATAAAGAGTTTAGTGATCAAAATAGAGAAGTCTAAATAGTTTAGTGACAATGTGTGTCATTTGCTCTAACCTTTAGTACGTTGTTTATAAAAAGTTCGAGGAAAATGAAATAAAAATTATTATTTTATCATGATGCTAAGTTCATGTTTCTTCTTCTTTCCACCTGAAGTAATATTTATCTATCTTCATTTATATTTTTTGTTTTCTTTTTATGCAAATTTCGAACTCCAGATCGAGGATAGTATTGTCAATATAAAAACTTCCATACAAACCAATAAAACAAGTACGGCCTATATTGAGTAAATTTTATATACACTGTCAGTGTATACATTATCATGGTTGGATGGGCGACACAGAAGCAAATTTTGAATTTTAAATTCAAATTTTGCACATGTGATATATCTAATGGTGATAGTAGTGTATACACTGATAACGTATATAAGATTAATCCTATTTTATATGCTGACTATAAGGTACTACACTATAAACGAGTGCCAGTACTTGCTAATCAAACAAGATATTCTTGACCAACAAAAGTAGGCATAATCCTGTATCTAAATTCTGAGTGTCAAGGTATGTACATCGGTTGTGTTGTGCCTACCGTATTCAAGCATGCAACATTGGTCTTTCTTTTTCCTTCTCTTTGTTCTGGTTTTACTTCCCATGCATGATCATAGCCAGCTACAAGAAAATCTTCTGAAAGGTAAGGCTAACTAAAGGATTGTGGATTAGTACAAATGGAATTTGCAAGGTGCTAGAAAGTAACCGCAAATAGACCTTCATCATGTAAGGGCACCTTCCCTACGAGTCAAATGGTAACAATATATGAATGGTTGGATAATTGGGACTTAAAAGTAGATTCTTTGTTGGTAAAAGGAAAACGAAGTAGGAGTTTCCGAAGCCGCGTGTTTCTCTGGTGATATCTGGCTGGCAGCTTATCAGCATGCTTTTCTAGATTGGGACAGCTTAGCACCGAAAACTAAACCCTGACTGGGTGGACAGATCATTGCGGCGCAAATTTTGATCCTGTAATTAAGGTTCAAGGATTCCAGCCAGGTTCCCTCAAACCTTTAACTCCGATACAGCCAGATCCTCAATGAAATCCTAGGTATCAGAATAGGAAATTAACATCTTATTATTAATGCAGAAAGCGCAAGGTCCATGTTCTCTGAAGACGCCGCTCACCAAAACAAGTAGGGAATGGAAATAAACATAATGGTAGATCCTTCATTTTCCTTTTCATAATGTACTAATCTCTGCCTGACAATCTTGGCGATAACCGTCCCCGAAAACAAAAGGATTTAATACTGATAATTTCAACAAGAAATCAACAGGTAGCCCCCCATCACCTGATTGTTGAAAAGGTATTGACCAAATAGAATCAGCGGAGTTCAGACACAGATGCATTAATGCAGAACATAAAAGGGCAAAAAAAATATAGTACATATGCTAAATGAAACAAGAATCTCAGCTGACGTCTCAAATTGGCCAACAATAATCTCTTACATAGTTCTACTGCACCGTAGTGATTACATGGAGGAGGAAGAACAACATTGTGTCGGGAGAACAGAAGAACAATCAAATTGCAAAATCAGCTTGGAAGAGATGTATTCCTTCAACCAATTCGAATAAGTTTACCAAAGAGCTAGGAGGCTCATATATACACGCCTTTGAGAATAAAAAGGGCCACTACAGCTCCTTAAATGAAATCCCTAAACCATTTCTTCTACATGTACAAACAAAGTATAAACAAGCCAATCCTATCTTCAATGAAAGAATTGAAGAAAATGGGCCTGCATGGATTTGTTTTGTCATGTACAAACTATCAAAAAATCTGACCCGCACGTCAGATTTTTCTCTCTGTCTTCTATCTATTTGGCTTAACCAAGTTACCAATTGTACAACAAGAAGAAGACCGTTCTGGATCTTCATAGATTATTCAACTCATATTTCTGCATCCATTGCCACAAATAGCTCTCTTCGTGGCCAATTCTCTTCGCCAGCAGAAGTAAATAAGGCCACCGAAATGTCAGCCAACTTCTTGCTGCTCAATCGAGCCCTCGGAATTCTCACTTGCCTTGGAGCTTGTTCGATTTCATTGAACTCATCCAGATTTTCCAAATCAATAGCATTTGGAAATCCAAGGGTCTTCCTGGGGGTACTATATGCAAAATGCCATTGCTTTGCAATCAAAGTCTGCATTTTTGTTTAAGAAATCCAAATCAAAATCAACTAATGCTCAAGACAAGTTGAAGAAAGCACTCAAATTTTAAATTAATTCAATTCATAGAGATATATAAAAGCTTACCGCTTCTCTTAGCGATTTGGACACAAAAAACAGCCTCTTCAAATCATCATGTTCAACACCACATAATATCCTAATCTGCAGGACAAAAACAAATCCCATCCTTGAGTAATAGCATTCAGCCCAAAAGGTAACCTTAAGATTAATTTCCAAATATGACCATCCAAAAAAGCCCTCATCTTTCACCAGTAAAGCAAAACTTAATTAGTGACCGTAAATGCAAATGCCCCTAAGAAAAGGGCAGAACATTCACTTCAACTCTTAAGCAATTAAAAAAAATTACTCCATAAAACCAAGCCAATAACTACATTTCAGCATAATTAAAGTACAAACTGCATATCCAAGTATGATTAACACAGAAAGCTTAAGAACAACGCTCAGTTAAAATCTCAACTCACCAGGACATCTTGAGGCAATGCTTCAAGAGTAGACTTGTCTGAAGTGAAAAATGAGGCCTCATAGCTGCAGCGTTTTTTGGTGGGAGTTCTATCAAAGCAATCAATTTCCATCACATCATTGGATGGTAAAGCAACCCTTTTCCGCCCAAATGAGGTGCTCCTGACCAACCCCATCCCAAACCCTCCATTTCCCCTCTGGGAATTGCAACCACATTTCTTCCCCAATGCCATCTTTGTCCTGTTCTGTCTCTTCAACAAAGTTCCGTGAATCCAAGATCTGATTTTTCCACCAAGCATACAAAATCAATCAGCACCCAAAACACCAAGAAAAGAAAGGAAAACCCAATTTTCCCACTCGAACAAATTACCTATAAATAACACACAGACCCAGAATCTAAAATCGTTATGATAAAATCTATGAAACAGAAAACTAGAAAAATAAGAGGCAGAGACAAGCGGTAGATAGATAGATACCTTGAGGCGAAACTTGACCTAAATACCTAAATTTTAGCGAGAGAGTAAATTGAGGTTGGCTGTAACTGCCGTTTGCTGAGAAGGAAACAAATAAAACCACTTATAACCCTGTAAGTCAAGATATTTATACTTGTACGAAACTCAGGATTTTTCTAATCTTGTGTGCTGACACATCGGTACAATTTTTAAATTGCTTATAGATTAATACGTAGGAGGGAAAATGGATATGGTAAAAGATTTTGATTTTATTTGATTTTTCACTAGAAACTACTGGAAATCTCGGATAAAAATATCTGTGGGCTGGGTCGGGTGCTTTTGGATAAATATCCAGGAGGAAAATGGATGTGGTAAAAGATTTGATTTTTCACTAGAAACTACTGGAGATCTTGGAGCACCCTGGGATTGGCGGGTTAAAAAAAAAAAAAGAAGGAGGAATGCAATGCATAGAGAATAGAGAGTCGAGAGGGAAAAAATAAGAACTAGCCGTTATGGAAAGAGACACGTGGCGGAGCAGGACAGGTTGGAGGAAGTAACTTGGATGGTTCCAGTGACGTGGCTGGAATGGTCGGTCTAAGTCGGCTGGTCGGGGTCGGTAGCTTATCTGACACGTTTATGGGTTCATGGACTGGGTCTTTTGCTGGTTGATATTATGACCATACACGTGTAATCTAACTGTAATTTGACGGATGAGGAAGTCATACGTGGTTGAGCGAAGGATCGATGGTCAGGATTTGTTGGAGGATCACACGTGAGAGGGACGTGAGTAGAAGATCGGTGGCCAGTTGTATAGTGCTAGTTTGTAGTGGGAAGTAGGTGTCTTCCAATTCGGCGGCTGAAGAAGAGTGAAGAGTGAGTGGCTGCTGTAGCAGTATTTACACGGGGCTGTTTGGGTCAAAAGCAGGTCAACACGCCCTGCTTTAATCGTGGTTCTTTCCGATGGGTGGCCCTCTGGACTTTGGCGGGCAAGTGGGCAAATAATGGTAGTGTCTTTGTTTGTTTGTTTTTCTTTTTTCCCTCTCTTGTAACTTGGAGTTAGGATAGGAGATTGTTTAGGATAACTTTAAAAAAATTATAATGGATCTATTTGGATAGAGTACTGTGTTATTTGAAATAATTATTATAATATTTTTTGTGATGTGATATATGTGAGATAAAAAAGTGATTGAAAATATTTGTTAATATGATATAGATGAGATAAGAAACATAATTTAAAAATGTGTTTATGATAAAAGCAAATATATTTGTTAACTGCTTAATATTCTTAATGGTCAATTCCTCTCATATTATTAATCCAATTATTAGGGCTAACAGAAAACCATGAGATTCACTGGCGGAATTTTGAGGAAGAAGGACACTGATAATGCTAAAGGTTATTTTCCCAAAAAAAAAAAAGAAAGCTAAAAATTACTCCCTCCCTTTTTTTATAACTGACGTTTAAGAAATTTGCTCTAGTGTACTTTTATCTGTCGTTTTATTATCCCATACAGTATTAATTATTTTTTCACAATTTTACCCTTTTATCTCTCTTTTCCAATACAGGGTTCTTAATTACTACTTTTGGCCTAGTAAAACAGCACCATTTAATACTCTAGTGAGAGAAAACAAAGGTGAATTGGACAATTAATGAGGGTACAAAAGGAAAGTAGTGTACAAATTTAAGCAATGAAAAACTTTTCTTAATTGATGTGCAAAACCTTAAACGTCAGTTATAAAAAAAGGGAGGGAGTACTATGTTGTATGAAGTGTAACTGCTGTTACTACCACTGATTTTGGACCTCTTAGAGGCTCTTGATATGGTAAAATGATAAACTCTTGACTAGCAATTGCCCTGTCCGAGATTGCTTTCTTCTAGCTTATGTGTTGCTTGATGTCCAATTTTGCGTTATGTAAGGTAACCCTAATGCATTGAGCGTTTTTCATTCAAATATAACCGATCTTTATTTTAGGAAATGACTTTTTAATCAAGAAACTAATCTAGCCAAGATTATAGCAACGGGTGAGAGCTTAGGTTGGAAGGCTGGGAGGGCAGAATGAAGATGAGTAAGAAGAAAGGGAGAAAAGGAAAAATTACTTGTTCAACACATTTGTACTAATAAAATATCACATGCAAAGCACACGAGTAATCTACCTTTAAACTAGCTATGTAAACTTTCTGAATAATGGGAAATTACTCTACTATAGAAGAAAAGTGTGGAGAAGAGAGTTTATTTCACTTTAAAATAGGAAAAAAAATCACTTGAACTTGAGTGTTTATACTTTATACTACGTGAGACAAAACTTGTACTTTTCATAAGAATTTCAGTAGAAGGTTAAAAGTTGATTTTTTCGCTAAGATTAATTTTCCACAGATTGTGAAAGGAATTCGTATCCAGGCGTTGTCTGCAAGCAAACTATATATATGATTTTAAGTGTTTATACTCTGTTCTTTACAAATTGGAGTAAAGAAATAGTCTGGCCAGACTAGATCGATATGCATACAGATTTTCTCACATTATTGTGTCATGTAATTAGTGTGCTGGCTCGTAAACAAAATATTATGTTATTCCTATTAATCGTACTAGATATAAAGTACAAAGTACCTTTTATGTGCAATATCACTTTAATTAATGGAAGTCTTCGGAAAACCATTCTATCAATTTATATCCAAATTGTCACATCATTCAATAATGAAGGGTTTTACGTTTTGAATTATTGCACCTCATACAATTCAACGTTCAAATTAAAACTCTTTTTTTTTTAATCTTAAATATATGATAAACATAAGTGATTGTAGCATCCTTCACCTCATACAATTCAATGACTACCTACTTTACTTTCGTAAATTTAAGCATACCTGTGGAATACGTCTTTCTGCACTAGTCTACATGTAAAGACAGATCTCCTTGGCATATGTCTTTTTAACCTATCATATTTTTAAGTTTTTAACAGCGAAAAATGTTCTAAGTATATTCGGGCGCACGAAGTTTGAGCAAGTATTACTTTAATTACCATTGTTGCGTCATATGCTTAGAGGCCCTAGATATGGTACAATGATAATCTTTTGACCAATAATCATCCTATCCTTGTTAGGTTTCTCCTACCATATATGTTGCTTGATGTCCAATGCTGCCTCATGCATGGTAAACATAACGTCTTGAGCGTAGTTCATTCCAAGATGACCTATCTTGGGATGTTTTTCGAGGAATAATAACTTCTCAATCAAGGAACAAACCTAACTAGCTTTACAGTAACGGGCAAGAGCTTGGCATTAGAGATGAGAAGATAATAAAGTTGTAAATAAGTCTAGTCGATCCAAATATCAGATATTTAAACTCTGTTCATTAATGCTATTTAAACAAAGCTCGTGTTTGTTCGATAATATTTGAGTCCCAAATCTATGTTCGTTTAACATCTCTAAAGATAGACAAAAAAGACGACTAAAAGTAAGAAGAAAGAAAGAAAACCAGAGGGAGGGGAGAGAGAGGAAGCAAGCATATTTGCAGTTTGCAAGAAGCAATCACGTCTAAAGGACCACATTAAAGAGTTTAACTAAAGTGGGATGGAACGCAACTTTCTAAAGGGTAGTGAAAATTATGCGCTATGATTTAAGCATGGCTGCATGGGAGTACAATAACAGTTTGGCCAACAAAACAAATATCAAGGACACCAAAGGAAACAAAAAGCAAAGAAAAGAAAATTTACTTCAAGTCGTGCCAAGTACTCCTGAAAAGGAGCCTTCTAAGCTTTTTGGTCGGATCAAGTTTTGGTAAAGAAGTACGTCAAAACAACTAAAGAGATTGACTTGGTCCCTGGTCGGGTTTGAAAGCATCCACTAGCTTCCAGGGGTTCAAACACTAAAAAATAAGCACATAATTTTGACTATCCATTTTTGGTTGGCAGATTAGTCCGCCGAAGATGAAGTATAAAATATGGACTCGGGGATACTTCGAATCAATTCAACTTACTACCAATTTGCACCATGGTATACTATTTTCACTTCTTTTTCGATACTTTGCACGCTAATTTCGTGTCACAACTTAGTCGCAGAATTTCAAAATTTTCAATCTTTAAATTAGTAGTTGTCCGCTGGTTTTTACTTGTTCATCATATTTTGGAGTTAGACACTTAAGATTAATTATTGAGTACTAATGATGATTGTCTAAATATCACAAATTCAGTCGTAAATCATACATCTGATACGCAAAGTCACTTGCATGGTCATGTAATGTATGCATAAAATAGATAAATAATTTGGATAAGTTGTTTGCACACGGAATGCACATATAAATAGCATCCATTTTTTTGGGTTCAAATATATATAATAGTATTCATGATCTTGTACATACTGCACATACATCATATTAGGCCCACAAGTAATTTGTATGACCTAAATCGAGCAAATTCGGAAGGTGCAGTCTGTACACCGTCTAAGCTTAAATTTTTTTTTTTTTTTTTTCATTTCCGTATAAGCTTATGTCAATGCATATATAGTCTGTGGTTTTTGCTTTTAAAAAAAAACCATTTGTGGGTTTTTGAGAAAATTAACAGGTGACTCGTCTTAATAACCAAGGTATGGAATTTATTCATAGTTTTTTTTTTTTAATTGAATGATGGAAAAGGTGAATAAAGTGATCACATAGTTTGCTCATTTTTTTAAAAAAAAATTGGATTTTCTCACATCATCACATATTTCTTCTTCCATCATTCAATGATGGGAAAAACAGATAAAATGTCTTTTTACCGAAATCAAAACCCAAGAATTACCCATTTGCACATATCCATTTTATAGCTCGTGGCGCTTGACGTGGCATTAGTAAAAAAAAAAAAAAATGGTGCTAGTATAAAAGAAGTAGGATTAATTTGTGACCAAGAAAAAATGTCTCGATGGTTGAAAGAAGTAGATGACAGTGGAACAAGATGAATTCTACGCACTTCCAAAGACAGCTGAATTTTATATCGATGTCTTAAATATCAGAAAAATGAGAGATTGCCCTGAATAAAAAGAAGTTTAAACAAGAACACTTTTTTTAATCAAATATCAACAATAATGTTAAAATCAAGGGATAATTTCACAAACCTCCCTTGTAATGGTAATGATAGGGCAAAAACCACCGTGTAAGACTTAGTAGAGCAATTTTTAAAATGTTTGATAGCCATTTGACTTTATTATTACCGCTTTTTTTGAAATTATCCCTTATTAAATCAAGAAAGAAACTGGGATAATTGCCACAGATATTGCAGTACAAATTGTGAGCTCATTGGAAAGGTTAAAACCTTGGTGCAATAATCGAGTCCACGCGGTTGAAGGTACATATATTTCTATTATATGCAATGACTCAAAAATTGGAGCATCCAAAAACTACTAGAGATAAAATGTTCAAAGACTCTTTCCACTTTTTATGGCCTTTTTTTAATTT